CTTTTATAATTTCTTCTTTGGGTGTCTTAGCAGATGTACTCTGAGGTTCTGTCATAAAAACCTTAACTTTATTATGCACATCTCCTGGGATGATGTCAGTTTCATTCACAGTACGTTCAACCTGAGACTGCCTTTGCTTTAGTAACAGTTTTGTGCCTTCGACATCACCACCAATTATTTCTTCCTCTTTTTCTTGTTTCCTAGCTGTTACTGTTTCATTCGACCCTGTCTGAAGTTGTTTGAGATAATCCAAAGCTCCAGTTTCTATGCATGTTGTGAAAAACTGAACATTTCCCCTCTCAGAGGCATCAATTTTAGCCCTTTCAGATATTTTATTGTTTGATATAGAAGACAATAAATTATGAATGGTACCTCTTACATCACCTCCTATTACTTCTTCACGCTCAATTGTGTCACCATCATTTTCATGAAGAAGACAATAGATAGTCATATTAATATCTCCTCTTTCATCTTCCTGAATTAAAATGCCTTTCTTTACAGATCTTTCCTCAGAGAACAGATTTTTTATTGCTTGTTGTACATCACCTCTCATTATCTCTTCTTTTTCAGTATGAAATTCAGTTGATCTGTTTAATAATTGAGTTTTAGTCAAATTCACATTTCCCTTCTCTTCTTCACTAACCAAAATCTCTCTTTTTGTACAGTCTCTTTTGGAAAGTAGGTTCACCATTATGTTTCTGAGATCTACCCTGACAATTTCTTCTTTCTGTATCTCAGGAGATGCTTGGTTCATTAGCTTGTATTTTGCCATTCGGACATCCCCAACTTCATCAGCTTCGATGATGATTCCAGGAGCCTGGATAACTTTTTGAGAGTGCAGATCTTCTAAGGTTTCTTTAATGCTCTTGCCAATAATCTCTACCTTTTCCACTCTAGTTTCATTAAATTCATGAAGGGGTGTTGTTTCAAAGAGCCAGGTAGTCGTTTTGACATCAGAAGGAGGGATTTCTTCCTTGGTCATTTTTGAGATGCTTTCATCTTCTTTCTTAATAGAATCCAAAGTTTGATTTTCAAAAAGCCATACTGCCTGCTTAACATCGCCTTTCTGCACATCTTCCTGGGTGACTGTTTTTATATTGGCATCTAATCCTTCTCCTCTCAGCTCTTCCATAGTGTGGGTTTCAAACAGCCAAGTAGATGTTTTAACATTGCCCCTTTGTATTTCATTGACACTTACTGTTCTTATATAATTATTCTTATCAAAATTTTCAGACTCAAAAAATTGTTTACTTGTCTTTACATCACCACCTTGAATATTGTCAATAGTGGGCACAATATTACATGATTCTTTTGAAATCTGATCCAGTGGCTGCGTTTCAAATCTGTATCTGACAGAACTAACATCTCCCTTCTGAATGTCTTCTTGTGTGACAGATTTAATAACATACACAGTTTCTGATTCGTTAATCGAGTCTAATGGTTTTGTTTCAAAAAGCCACCTTGTTCCTCGCACATCTCCATGAATCACCTCTTCCTTTTTAACTGTTGTCACTTCATGATAGTACCCTTCTCGGTCTTGAATTGCATAGAGTGGCTGAGTTTCAAAGAGCATTCTGTAGCTTTTTACGTCACCCTTTATTACTTCTTCAGTAATTGTTTTCTTGGTGCTGACATAGTCAGATTCTTCTTTAATCTCATCTAAAGAAAACGTTTCGAAAATAAAGCACCTCTTTCTTACATCCCCACCTTGTATGTCTGTCACTGTCTTAACCAATTCATCACCTTCTTGGCTTTCTTTTATCATATCAATTGCTTTGTTTTCAAAGAGCCACCTACAATTTAAAACATTGCCCTTCTGAATATCTTCAGTTTTTAGGGTTTTGATCTTTTTCAAAACTTCCTCTGAACTGGAACTTATAGAATCTAATGACTGATTTTCAAATTTATATCTCATGCCGGAAACATCTCCCGCTTGGATATCCATTTCCACAGGCTTGATTTCCTTCCCTTCTTCTCCTTGTATACTGTCCAGATTTTCTGTCTCAAAAAGAAAACATGCTGTACGAACATCCCCACCCTGGATCTCCTCCTGCTTTACAGTTTGCAATTTGACTGTTGTTTCAGCATCATCTTTGATGGTATCAAGTGGCTGAGTTTCAAAAAGCCAAGTGCAGGTTTTGACATCTCCCTTATGAATTTCTTCACTGCCAGTCATTAATGAAACTTTTTCATAAAGAGACTCCATTGGCTGGGTTTCAAAAAGCCATTTGCAGGTTTTGACATCCCCTTTAACAATATCTGTAGCTTGATCAGTTTTACTTTCTGTTTCTTCCACATTGCTAAAATATTTAATTGAGTCAAGAGGTTGGGTTTCAAACAACCATTTAGCAGATTTCACATTTCCGGTCTGTATTTCTTGAGCAGATATTCCTCTAATTATCTGAAATTTATGAATGCTTTCATCAAATTGGTCAATGGGCCTTGTTTCAAAAAGCCACCTGCAGCTTTTTACATCACCTCTTAGGATTTCTTCCTGTTGGACTGTCTTTACTTTATGATACTTTCCAAGGTGATCTTGAATGGCATATAGTGGTGTTGTCTCAAAGAGAGATTTATTTAGCTCTACAGCACCTCTTGTGACTCCTTCCACCTCTATTTTATGTGATGCATCAAATTTAATTAAATTGTTTGATTCAAAGATACGTGTGTAATTCCTGACATCTCCCCTGTCTACTTCTTCAAGTTTCACTGTTCGTGTGTATTCCTTTTTATCTTCTCTAATCTCTTCCAGAGGTTGGGTTTCAAAAATCCATTTTTGGTGTCTAACATCCCCTTTTTCTTCTTCAGAAGCAGTGATTTTTTGAAGCTTTCCTACATCAGGACTATCTTTTAAAGCCTCTATTGGAAGTGTTTCAAATAGATGCTTAGTAGTTTGTACATCACCCCCTATTATCTCCTCAGGTGGTAAAGGATCTGCATCAGGCACTTCTTTTAGAATGTCTAATGGCTGTGTTTCAAACATCCAGCACTTTCTGGAGACATCTGTACCTATTATTGCTTCCTTTTCAATGACGACCTCTTCTGAGTCTTCTTTGATTTTTTCCAAAGGTTGGGTTTCAAATAACCACTTTGCCCTGCTTACCCCACCTTTGACATTTTCTTCCATGGATATTCCTCGGACAACTTTAATTTCTGTAATATCTTTGTTAATTGTGTCTAATGGCTGCGTTTCAAACATCCAACGTGCTGTTCTCACATCCCCCTTTTCAATGTCTTCTCTGTGTACAGTTTTAATTTCTAGCATTTGACCTAAACCGTCTCTAATAACATATAATGGTTGAGTTTCAAAACATTTTATACTTCTCTTAACATTTCCCTTAATTTCTTTGAGCTCAGACCTAAGTTGCAGTAAGTGAACCTCATCCACTGAATGAAGCTGTCCAATTTGATCAAGATGTTGAGTTTCAAACATGTATCTCACAGTCTTGACATCTCCCCCAGTTATATCCTTAATGACAGTCACTGCTGATTCTTCTTGACTTTGATGCATTTTATTCATTGAGTCTAATGGCCTTGTTTCAAACATCCACCGGGCTGTGCGGACATCTCCTCTGGCTAGCTCAGGAATTTTCTCTGCATTTTCTTCAGTGCCAGAAGAATGAGCCCCCAGTGTATCTATGGGTTGGGTTTCAAACATCCAGGTGGTATATTTCACATCACCACCAGCAATGATTTCTTGGTCAGCAATGCCCTTGGAAATGTTATCTTCATCAGGAGAGCCACTGTTAATGGAATCTAATGGCTGATTCTCAAAGACCCATCTAATGGACTGCACCTCCCCCTTCAGAATTTCATCCCACTCCAAGTATTCTCTTCCTGAGCTCAGCTCTTTTTGAGAACTGTCACTTGTATTTTCAAAAACATACCGGGCTTGCTGCACATCTGCTGAACCTGAGCTCCCTAAGTTCATCTGACTGGAAACAATCTCAGAAACTTCACTGATATAATCTTTTTCTAAGTTTTTTCTTAACTCTGGATGAATGTGTTTATATAAACGGTTTAATTCATATAAATTTCTTTGCTTAGAATATAAATCTTTGGGGACCGGTAGTCTTCTAGGAGGGGTAGGTAATTCAGGGGACTGGGAAAACGCTGTCACATCTATTGGAGTTTGAAGTACATCAGGTGGGGGAGGAGGAAATTCTTCCATTTTTCCTGAAGAAGTAGCATTAACTTGTGCCAGAGTTGAAGAAGTGACACTGTGATCATGGTGTCTTGTGGTTGACGTTTCCTTCCTCTGGCTGGTTGCAGTGCAAGAAGTGGAAGAGGTAGCCACAACTGAGGATGGCTGTAAAGTCTCTTCATATGCACTGTCAATCTTTAGGGGAGAGAAAATCAAATTTGATAAAGATGGGGTAGTGGCAGAGACTTCCTAGGTGTTGCCCTTCACCTGTCCACAACCAAGACTGATACAACATCTCCATTAAGAAAAAAAGGGATATACTTCATTTAAGAGCCCACTTAGGAGTCATATTTAGTGTTTGTTACTATCTTTCCAATAATCCATTTTTACTTGTAAAATTATATCCCCCAATCAATGCATTAATGACTCAGTATTTTAACATTTATACATAATCTCGATTTATCCCCCTTAATGTGGCATGCAGAGTAATCCAGAGGGAAACAGTAAAAGTCTTAAAGTACTTTTGAGGGTTGTTTTGTTTTCCTTGGAATTTTAAACAGAACAGAATAAGCATCTGACATTTAAAATTGACTTAATTACTTTATCTAATGTTAGTGATTTGACTTTGGAGTATACATCATTTTTCCTTCCCTCATTTTCTCCAGTGAGACAAGTTTTTACTTTACCTCTTTTTTCCTGCAGGTCAATATTTTTATGAAACTGAATAAGTTCTGGTTCAGGATATTTTTGTTGTTGTTGTTGAAAAGCCACCTCAAATATGCAATAATTTGAAAATGTTATGCATTTAAGCTTGGTTTTACACTTAATATGTTTCTGTGTAAAGAAATTACCTTACCTTAATCTGCTTGGCTGGGGTTGTCGTCTCTTTGTCAGAATAAAGAATCTTTTCCTGGGCAGACTTTTCAAATTGCTCTTTTAACAACTTAGTCGAAACCTTTGGAATCTCTTCATCCTCAGGTGTATCAATGACTACAAACAGAAAAAAAGCACCAGTTATATTAGGTAAAAATAATAAAAGTTATGTTTAAGAAGAAATTATAATGCTATGGGAATGTTTTCACAATGTATGTTAAATAAAAAGATTCAAAGTGCAAAAATATACATGGCATTGTTTCATTATGTGATTTAAGAATATAGCAAGAAATATAGGAAGAAAATATAGGAAGAAAAATGTTTGTGGTTATCTCTGGATGAGAATATTTTCCAAATTTTCTATAAGCATGTTCTACTTTTATCCTCAGGAAAAAATAATAAAAGTTATAAAATAAGAAAAGAATAGCAGAAGATCTACTTTCTTAATCAGTAAAACCAAAATAAAGATACAGTCATATAGTCAAGTGATGTTTTGGTCACAGTTGGCTTAAATCTCCTCTGTTAGCTCTTTGAGGCAGCAAAACTTATTTTCTTTTTATAGAGGAGACTAAATGTGCCTTGTCTTATGAAAACTTACACAAATTTGCCTCATATAATCTCATATTTGTAGGTTGGAGAACTGGACTTAATAGTGCTTAAATCTGTTATTAAAATGAATTCAATCTTGATAATAATTCTATTCTCAGGGAGCTTGATAAACATCAGGTTTTATTGTAGGTCCCTGAGGCAAAAAGGAATTCAGAGGTGGCTAGCATATCACCCTTTAGGCTTTGAAATAAGTATATCATAGGGCTGATGGACAATCAACTATTTCAGAAATTTATTCTGTTTATTACCACAGACAAAAATCTAATTACGTTTAGAAACAGTACCTAGCTCCTTTTAGGACCATGATTCATAGTTACTGAAGCTACTCAGTAGGGAGGATTGTGCTTTGGAAATCCTCCATTCAAACTCAGACACATCGATAGGAAGAAGGTGTATTGGGGCCAATAATACCAGACTCTTACCAGTTTCTTGAACATATTGATGAAACCGAGAAGCTCGGTTTATTTCCTCAGCGTGCTTTTCAAGGTGAGAAACCTATGTTTAAAGATAATTTGAAAAATATAATTGTTTGTACGAAGTCAATTATTTTAGTACTACACATAATACACTTCGGTTTGCAGTGGTTTTCATCCAGGACTTCAGTGCACATTGAGAAATGCTAATTAAACCTCTATCATTTATTTTAATGCATAGACTCACGCTCTAACAGAACATATCTGAATTCACATATAAAGTGCAATCATATTTTTAGGGTACCTGCTTTACTTTTAAAAGAATTCCAGCTGGAAAGTGAGGAAAGAGACACTGATATGTATTGATACTAAATACAGAAGGGACAATAAAAACAAATGCTTACAACAAAGAATTTCCACACAGTTCTAGAAACTGGAAAGTATTGTCTTTCTAAGTAGTTACCATTTCTGTTCCAAGAACATCAGTTTTGTGTTCTTTGGACACTTGTTGTTCATTTCTTGCCATTTCTTGGCTGCTTCTCGAAATGTTGAGCTGGCTGCTCTGGATTACCTCCTGCAAACAGACAGACAAAGCATTAAGAAAAGTCTGAAATTTTTAACTTTTTTTATTAATGCAATTTCAGTGACAGAGGTTTCTGGAAAAAAAAAATCAAGGTCCTCGGTATATTAGTTTGCTTAGCTGTTGTAAAAAATACCACAAATTTAGTGGTTTTAAACTGCATAATGGTATTATCTTACACTTTTGTAGGTCAGAATTCCTAAGTGAGTCTCGCTGGATGTTGGCAGGTGTCAGAAGGTGCGTATTCCTTTCTGCAGGCTCTAGGGGAGAATCCGTTCCCTTGTCTTTTGCAGCTTTTAGAGGATACCCACTTTCCTGGACACCTGGCCCTCTCCTCTGTCGGGCTGAGACCTTCGCACACAGCCATCTGTCTGATTCTCTTTTCCACTTTTAAGGGCCTTTATGATCACATTGGACCAACTCAGATAATCCAGGTTTATCCCCCTGTCATAAAATCAGCTAATTAGCAGCTTTAACTCCATCTGCAATTGTAATTCCCCTCTGCTGTGTAATGTAACATATTCACAGATCCTGGGAATTAGGACATACATATCTTTGGGGGCTATTATTCTGTCTACTACACTTAGTAAGCAACAGATATTAATGATGCATCTTGTACCCCGTATGAAAAAGACGAACCTCAAAAGAAAAACAAATATATTCTGTTGTTTATAAGGTATATTTCCATATTATGGAAAGACATTCTAGTCTTCAAATTGACCATCCAGTGTGATAACACGTCCAGAGTTCAGATGAAGAATATAACCATTAAATGTAACAACATAAATAAGCCATGTTATACTAGTGTGTATCTCCCTATCTTCACACATGGGGCTGCTTTTGATTTTGGTTAAGCTAGCACAGATGACCCTTACTGAATTGGAAATTTGGAGCTCCTGTTAATTTTGAAGATCCAGCCCTACATTTACTGTAGAATATGATTCTGACACAAGTATATAATTGATTGATTGATTGATATGCCGAAGCAGTTGGCATATTGCTAAAAATGTTAACATCAAAAAATAAGGATATAGATAGATGACTCTTTATGAGAACACATGTATTTGAAGATGCTTGAAGTTGGGATTTAACTTTTATTTTGCTATTTAAGTGACTATCAAATAGCATTTTAGAGATTTGATTTTTAAAAATTTGTCTTAGAGGATAGTCAGATGAGCAAAGGTATATTATCATTATTAAGCAAATAGGATTACTGAAAGTCTTCTTTATAGTGAGTTAAATAGTTTTAAACTATCAAATCCTAATCCTTAAACCAAGAAGTGGTGTAAAATTAATTCATGAGATCTTGACTTGTAACTTTTTTTAAGAGTAGACTTACAAGATGTTACTTTTTCCCCCCAGGGGTATTTGGTATACAGGGTTAAAGGTATGATTAACCAAGGATAAGTCATTTATTTACATATGTATAGTATAATCTGATTTTATTATACTTTTCTAGAAAAGAAAATTAAGAAAAAAAAGTTGAGACTTTCCCAGAAGTCCTACAAATAACTGAAGGTGAAATGTTGGCTTACACTTTTTTTTTTCTTTTATTTCAGCATATTATGGGGGTACAGATGTTTAGATTACGTATGTTGCCCTTGGTCCCCTCGCCTAAGTCTGTGTTTCAAATATTTGGCTTACACTTTAAAAGGTGGGTTATGTCTCACTAAATTGAAGCCCACTGTATTTTTTTTTTTTTTCCAAGCAGAACGGTTTCTTCGCCCTAGTTAATGATCCACATATTTGTGCTAAGGAAAAGTTCGCATAATTAATGAGTGAGGAATGAATGAGCAAATAAAAGCAAACTTCCATCAAATTACTTCTTTTCAAACTTCAGAATATTCTGGAACCTGAAGAGAGAACAATGAACAAAACACTTTACTTTCTCAAGAAGGAGTATAGAAAATAAATAATCCACACTCTTTGCTTTCAGTTCAAAGAATCAGAATTCCATATCACAAGATGCCTGGCATAATCAAGTTTTATTTAGGGATATCAGTGGCATTGTGCTGGAGGGAATAATAACAATCATTGAAGATTGAAAGAGTACATAGAAAACATAGAAAGATTACATAGAAAAAAATGCATGAGCACAAATGACAATTTTTTTACATTTGTGACAAGCCTTTTCATATAATATTCTATGGCTTTAATTGCACACAACTTAAACAAACAGTGAAATAGCAAAACAGAGTGGGAATGTGACCAGAACTGAGGTCCTTACTGAGGGTCACCATGATCATTTCTGTAGAATTATGACTCTGCCTAGAGGCCTACATGGCAGCTGTGGCCTAGAGACATGCTTTATTTAGTCAACGTAGTGAATATAAAGTTTTGAATTAGGTAACACTAATGAAAGTCAAGATTTCTTTCTGTTTTTGAAAACTGTGAAACTCTGGTAACACAGTAATACTGGGTTCAGGTTCCAACAAGGCAGTATCTGGCTGGGACAAAGTAGTGGCTGGTCTTTTTAGTTGAGCCACATACCTTTCAGTTGGCCATCATCCCTATCACTGGCTAATATTTAACACCAACTTGACATTTTTAAAAAACCTGTCTAGTATCCATGAAAATGTGAGTTTCTATTACCTGCTGCCAATCTGAAAGAGTAGAGTTAGTGACATGACATGAATCTTTGTGTTAAGAAAAACAAATGCAAAATATTTGGAGTAGAAAAACAGTAAATAAATGTATTTTTGACACAAATTTTAAAAGTTATTTTCTGGGACAAACCGTTTATCGTTAAGTGTATCTACTTGAGTAAAAACAATCCACTATCAACTCCAAAATATATTTTCTTGTAGGAGATGACACAACATAAACAGAACAAATGTACATAAATTTTGTTTAGAGTTGTAAGTTTCTACTTCAGCATTTATGTGCCATTACTAAACAGAACTGTAATTGCTACACTAGTTTGGTATGTTAGCATCAATGCATCAATTTTACTGCCTCCTAGTTGCTATAACTTACATAAAATCTGTCTTAAAATATCACAAGATTTTGTTTCTACCATTTACTCGGTTTCATATTTTGCAACTTGTTTAGTTTGGATTTAAATCTGACTTTCTTTCTTCCCAGTTGTTGTTGTCTATAGAGTGTAGGGTTAGGTAAAAGGATGGATCATCATAATGCTCAAGCAGAAATCAAATTACACAAATAAAATGTAATAAAGAATTCTGGTCAGAGCACTATACATAAATTCACACAAAATGATTCATGACATTGGTTTCTGAAAATTAAATTTAAATGTAGACCAGGCTGAAAGAAACAAATGCTGTTTTATTTCCATAGGTGGATTAACCAGTAGCCACGAATGGGAGATTAGTCCTAACTCCCACCTCTACTAAGTATGCCGTAATCTTGGGTATATCACTAAATCACACTGAAACTCAGTTTTTTTCATGTCATGCAGCCATTAAAAGAAAGAAAAAGAGATAATATATGTGCTCTAACTTGAAATCGAAAGGAGAAAATGTAACACAATTACAAAACAATATTATAATATTTGCATAGCTCACATCAATCTAGTGTCAGCTCATATATATTAACCAACTATATTACAAAACTCTATCATTCATAAACACATCTTCTAAGAAGGTTTCTTCACACAGGAAAGTGTTCACATTCTGCTTATCCAACTTTTCATTATTATTATCATTATAAGGAAAGTTATTGTAAACTTGTACTAATAAAATTGCAAACTCATTCTAGAACAATGAGTAAGGAGAAAGGACAGACATTTTTTATGGTGATCCATTATTATTCTGACTCTCAGACGTATACCAAATAGAAAAAATTATAAGGAAAGACTGGCAGAATATTAGATGATAGCTGCCTCACCAGAGTGGAAAAAAGAGAAGTTCATGCTCAATGCCAGTAATTCAACAATTTTACCCATCACTAATCTCATCTTTAATAAAACTAGAAAGGGTTATGATATATTAAAGTTATTTGCATCTTTGTCAAACAGACATAAACAATAATAAGAACATGCTGTTTATCTTAGCAAAAATGTCAATGGATTCAAGATTTGAAGGAATAATTAGTTTTTTTCTTTTAAGCGATAGGCATAAAAATTTGTGGCTCATACATTGTGTTTGTTTGGGTTTGGATATATTCAAATTTAAACCTGTGTTTTTTCCATTGAATTTTCTCTCTTTATTTTTTTAAATTTACCCATCCAAATTGCAATATATAATCTGACATCTCTAGGTTTTGATTTTCAGATAAAGGCTTTTCCACATTCACTATACCTTTTTGAAGGCTTAACTCAAAAATTGTTTTCTTTTTGAAATCTTTCCTTATTTCCTATATGGATTTTTCTATTCCTGCTTTTTTTTTTTTCTAGTCCCATGACTGTCATTACATATCTCTGCTGTCTGCACATCACATTTGACAGACATCATTTGCTGATAGGACCCTCTCCTTTGACTGAACTGTGAGTCTATCACAGACATCCTCAAATCCCAATGTTTAGCTTCTAAGTACCAATAAAATGTCAAGGACTAAATGCATGGACCAATACAGTAGTTACTTTTTTTTCTAGCAGTATAATAGTTTTACTATTTTCAAGCTGCTTTAAAAATTGAGACTTTAAATTTTTCACGTAGCTCTATGTTGGTAATTTGGCTGACAGTCTTTGATACTGAATATTTTCATAATTGGTAGGTGGAGTTACATACGCTGATGTGTATAAAAATGACACATCGATTACAAAGTACACTCAGAAAGAGGGCTCAATAATATTGCAAGTGATCAGAACATTTATGGAAAAATGTGGGCAATGCTGCGATGCTGTAAAGGGTAGTTGGCATCATCAGAGAGGGGCAGAGTCTGTACCAAAGAAAGCAATAAATACAGAAAGGCAGCAAACACATATGCAATGGTAAAGAACCATTCAAAAAAGGAAAAAAAATAAAATAGCTTTTTTATAAAAAAATATTCACAATGCTAACCAAAATAGTTTGTATGTTTTTTTTTTAGTGAAT